TGGGTAATTACACTTTAAACAATTCTGATTGGTTTGGTAATTGTCCAGAAATGTTACGATATGAGCCAATTAGAATCCATATACAGGAAAAGTAGCATTAAAATGACTGGAATTAAAAGAACTTTTTTTGTAAATATATATTCAATTATTATTTAATTTATTTTTCTTCGAAATCGAATTCTAATAAAACAAAAAAGTATCAATTAATTAAAAATGAAAATATTTTTCGGACAAGAGCGCGGTATTACGTATACATATATATATATGAGAACAGAAAGGAATGCATTGGTCATTAATTAGAGAAGAGTGGCATTTATTTTTCTACCTTTTTCAATGAAATTGTTTGATCAGTAAATTGAGGCTTGGAGGGAGGGAGAGGGGGATTGACGAATTTTTGGGTGGCAAAGCAAAAGTGCGCGCCGTTTGTCCAGTGGACAAGAATGAAGATCGAAAAGTATGTATATAGTCGAGAGATCAAAGGACAGTTTTTACTTGCCATTGAATTCTTTTGCCATTGGAGGCGAAGTGCACATCGGAAATTTCTCATTTCCAGGTAATTAATTTACAATGAGCCGGACGAAAGGGGAGCTAATCCTTGTTTGGAGGGTTACTTATGGCCTCCGTTCTTCCATTAAGACTCAGGGTGGTCGATCACCGCAAACAAGCAGCACGCTCCGACGATAATTATTGACTGCCACTTAAATCAAGCTCCTTTCACTCCACCTCCAACCTTATGTATACCAAAACCTTTTCATCTCAGACAAAAAAAAAAAAAACTTTTCTTTTTCTTACAATACACGAATGTAGAAAAAAATTTATTTTTTTTTCAAATTACATAGTTCTATTTTAATTTATTAATATTCTATATTTTAAAATAATAAAAAATTAATAGTTTTATGTAAATTAGAATTAAGTGCCAATTAGATTTGGTATTTTATTGTTTTGAATTTAAAAGTGTTACTACATTTAAATGTAGCGCCATTAACATTAGCACATCTGGTGGATTTTCCAGGAAATATATCATTAGGGTGCGTTTACACTTCGTTAGGCATCGTTCACAGTTCGATGCTGTGAAATATAATTATTTTCTGGTAATATTTTTCAGCAAATTTTATTAGTTATAACTAGAAACTATAACTATAAATGTCCACTAAATTGAAATATTTCGGCAGAAATTGCAGAAGTAGTGTAAAAAGGGATGGGAAACTTTTTCAAAAGTCGAAGAGACACTCGTGGACGGTGATTGTGGAAAGGGTTGAATAATCGCCAGAGGCCCCTTAATTTGACGATATATACGAGGAGAACGAGACGTCGCGACTTTAGACAGAGAGAATTTCTCCTGCTTCCCTCTATATAAATCCATTCATCATTTCTCCTGTGTGATTGTCATTTTCCGGCCCACATATCCGGTACGGCGTTTTTCTCTTCTCGCGCTAAACCTTTTCGCATTTTCAATTATTTTTACGATCAAGAGGACCGTCTGCAAGCACGTGAGGGAGGAGAGAGAAAAAGAGAGAGAAAGAGAGAGCTTCCACGTATCATCAATTATCAGCTGCCTATCAACTCGGAAAATACTCCCTCACAAGTACAAAATATCATTTGCATTCGTTCGATTTCCTCTCAAGCTCTTCTCGTTCATTTTTTTTTTTCGCTATAGCATTCAGGTTAAATTCCACGTCTCAGAATCAAGGTTGCAGCATAAAAGCAAAATGAATTGCTTTCCGCAGGGGGACAAAAGGGATTAACCTTTTTTTCAACGAGTTATAAGATATCGATTTTCAACTAACGTTTTATATCGAAGCATAAAATAATATCGAGGTATTGATTTATGTCAAAGTATCGATATAAATACGTCGACAACAATATATATCGAAATTAAAATATCGATATATTGCAATATATATCGAAAAAATATTCAGATATCGATTTATATCGAAATTTCTATCGATAGTAATTATCGATATTGATTTAAAAAAATTTTCACAGAAAATTAAAAGGCATTAAATTAAGCTGCAACGCTTATTATTTTAATCCAATTTTGCTTATTTTAATACCAAAATGGATTAAAATAAGCAAAATTGGATAAAAATAAGAAGCGTTGCAGCTTATTTTAATACCTTTTAATTTTCTGTGTTAATTCAAAGTTAGAAAGCGAATTCTTAAAAAAATATTGCATATACATATAATTTATTTATACTCAAACAAAAATTATTGAGATATAACCAAAAAATTTATTTTGGTCGACAAAACCTGATTATGTTATAATATGTGCGCTCAAGGACAAAATTTTAATTTCTAATTAGTTTTTATATTGTCATATTGTGTGAATGTCGTTTTCGACGAATTACAAAAGGTATATATATATATATATATATAAATATATGTATATACCTATATATATATTGATGACACACGCACCAACAGTCATATATATATATATATATATATATGAGAAATATGTTCTTTATTTTTTTCGTAGAATTACCACAAAAATGATGAGAGATACAAAATACTAAAAGATCAAAGTCCGAGGCTTTTAATCTTATTAGTTATTAGTACCTTGCTCACGCGGAGAGAGCAGACTCTGGGTCCAAAGCAAAAAAAGAAAAAAAAAAGATTAACAAAACGCGCAGACAAGAATAGAAGTGTTTCAATGGTCTCTTTGATTTATTAAAAGCTATGTAAATGTATTGTGCTAATGCGTATACATATACTTAAAAAAAATTCTATACGCTATATATAAATGTCTATTTTTGTGTTATCTCTTTTCTTCTTTTTTTTTAATTATAATTTTGATTTTTTTTTTTTTTTAATGATGTTACACAACTGGAATTATATTTTTTATAACACTAATTATTTTCTTTTTTTAATTAAATAAGTAATGAAATATTTATAGTAATTAGAAAAATTTCTATATAGTTATAATTTATTATACAATCAATATTAATAATAATAATAATAATTTTGACAATTATTTCAATAAGTTATATTTTGTTAAAAAAAAAAATTTTTTTGTTCAAGGGTTATGCTGTAACATATTCATAATACTGAAAAAAGTAAATATCTCCTTCTGCAACATTAGCAATTCTATGATTACCGTCTTTTATTGACAGGGTCCTCACTCATTTCCTTTTATCCTCAATGCGATAGGTATTAATGACGTGACAAATGTCGGAGGAGAGGAGGGCGAAGGTTGCCTTGTACCGCTTTCAAAATTTGTAGAAAAAATTAACAAATTGATGGAAATTGGTCGAAAGGTAGAGAGAAATAAGGTTGCTGCTTATAATATATGCATTTCAATGGTAATGAGACTTTTGTTCATATATGTTATTAAACAAATTATATAGACTCAACAATATTATTAAAATGAGAAAATAAACCCTTAGGCGCGTTTTCTTATACAAAAATTTAAGTATTCTTACTTCTGTTTTACTTTTTTATTCATATAAATTATCGATCTGTCGATATACTATCGATCCTTCAATATATATTACAGATGTATCGATATACTATTGATTTATCGATGTGTGTTGTTGATTAATCGAAATATCGATTTATTGACGTACGAACCACAAGTTTTCAATTTATCGATATATTCGTAAAAAATCGATTTATCGATATATTCTCGACATATTATCGATATACCATCGATTTATCGATATATTCTCGACATATTATCGATATACCATCGATTTATCGATACTTATTATCAATGTAAAGATATACTATCGATTAATCGACTTTTACTACCAATCTAAGAAAATAAAACATTTTTGTTCTTTCCTTAAAAAAAAAAAAAAGAATTGTAACGCAATTAAAAATAAAATTCCCCTTGAATTAAAAACTATGAAAAACTTATTGCTGTGCACAAATTATAATGTTTTGTTGAGATATTAGTCGCATTTATTTTCAAGAAATAAGGTGGCAACACTGCAAAGGAGAGTTGAGCTTATGCAGGCTGATATACATATATATATGTATACATTCGCGAAGCAACTGAGTTCGCGCTCGCGAGTGTTCACACAAAGCCGGCCATTGTAAACGCTCATAAAAGACGCCTGTTCTTCGCATAGGCTTTAAATAATTCAATTCAACCGAATGTCTCTTTTCCTTCTTGCGTTGAGCGTCTTCCTTCTCCCTTATTCTTTCATTCGCGCCTCTTTTTCTCTTCTCTTGCCACCACGCGACTATATATGCCATCCGCGCGCCTTTCTTCTTTTTTTTTCAAGCTTCGAGCCTAGACTTAAAATCCTCTTTCCTTAAACCCCCTCCCCCGCACCCCCCTTATCAACGTCTTCCATATACCCTCTCACCATTTATGAATTACTTTTGGCTTCGTAGAGGTGGCGCAAGTAGTTCACAAGAATTTAAATTGTCACAAGCGCGCACAGAGAGCTTCTCTGTTTTTTTTTTTTTCTTTTCTCGCCAAAGAAAAATAATATAATGTTCTACTTTAGAAAGATGGAAAATATGGTAATTTTCAATTCATTCTGAGATTGAAAAGCACCAGCAGGAGAATATCAAGCTTTTTGAATAATTGCAATGTATATATATAAAATGAAAGAAAAATGAATTTCTGAGACAAAATAAAAGTGCTACTCTTTTATATTTTTCTTGTTTAAATTAACAGGTATTTAACATTTGTTAATTAGTTTGCTTGGAAATGATTTTTTTTTTTTCATTGAGAAATAATAATAAAGAAATTAAATAATTTAATTATCTATAAATCTTATAAAACAATTCTTTTAAAAATACACTGTTAAAAATCGGGCTTCAACTTTACACTAAAAAGATTGAAATAATAAATATTTTTAATTCGAAAAGGATAAATGTTTGCATGTCATTGGTTGGACAAAAAACTTTAAGCCAATGAAATAAAAACATTCGCACTTGTCGAGATTGAAAATATATAATTTCAATCTTTTTAGTGTAAAGTTGAAGCCCGATTTTTAACAGTGTATGAGAAAAATGTGTAAAGTAAATGTATTATTATTTCTTACCATAACTTGAAAATTAGGCAAAGAATACATCCATCACAGGATCATCTGCAAAAAAAAAGAAGAAAATTTTATAAATTAATTATTTTAATATAAAAATAACATCAATTTGTATCAATGAAAAAATTGAGATTAGTATAAGGAAAAGCAAGGTTACGTCTCAAAATTTTCGGATTAGTTCTGTACTATATTTTGTACTCAATACCAAATATTCAATTTTATAAAATTGAATTTTTTCGATTTAAAAAAAAAAATAACTTTACAATAAAAACTGTTATTTAATATTCGTTTGATGGCAATAAATAAAAGTAAGTGTGAAAATAATTGTGCGGTAGATATATATATTTTATAAGAAAATGATTGGTGCGCCGCACACACTTGACAAATAAGGAGAAATTTTTGAAGTAGGTAAAAAGATGTGACTCTTGACAAAATGTCGAGTGTGTTGTTTTTAAAAGACACCTTCACGAATATTATTCACTTGAAACTTAAGGACTGTCAAACACGAATGCACAACTGCTGCATATAGTACAGGCGCTTGGAACCTACCAATATAAAATAATTAATAATATTTTATCACTTTTTCTATGTTGATAAATATTTCTATATATTGACTTTGAAAAATATCCATAAAACGATCGAAGTGACAATATCTAACCTAACCTCAAATCGAACTAAAATTGAATTTAATATATCTAAAATAACCTCAAACGTATTTAATAATTATTATTTTGTTCTTATTCTTATTACTATTATGAATATATAATTATAATTTTCACATTTCACAGTTTCACATTTCGAATGTCGTTCTATTGTAATAATTTGACGAATAACGGTCAGTTAATTTTGAATTTTAAGTGTTCACACCAAACTGGACAAAATTTGCTACCTAATGATCAATTCACAATGAATTCAAAGGCTAAAGTCTAATTCACACCAATTGCAACTATTTACGGTCAATTCATAATAAAATTAAAAATTAACATTCAATTGACAAGGAAATCATTTATTTACGATTTATAATAATTTCGATAAAATTTTTTTTACAATAATTAACGATTATCATAAAAATTATTATCAATTATTATCACCTTATAATAGCAATTATAATGAAAATAAAAACGTATAAAAACACTTTATAATACTTGTCAATATATGGAATTTAACGAAAATAATCACGTTTTATTAAATTGAATAACCAGTATTTTTACACTGGCTTAGAAAAATCTCGAATGCAGTTTACAAAATAGCAAAAAAAAAAAAAAAAGGCGGAACAGCTTAACATAATGCAATTAAGCGTGTACAATTTTTTTTCTCGCTCATTCGTTTCTCTATACAAAAGCCATTCACGTGGTGATATACACGTAACACACATATAGAAAGGAAAAAAAAAACGGACACCGTTATTCCCTTCATCGCGTAATTAATTCACATTAAATAGCGAGATGTAAATTTTACTCGCCATTCTTCTGCAAATATAGAAGAAGAGAAAAAAAAGTTGTGAGAGATATTAAAAACTATGAATTAGGATTGCTTATTAAAATTATATTCATTGCGAGTGAAAAAAAAGTAGTGGTGGGGGGGGGGCAAAAAAATAAAGAAGCAGGAAATAAAAGTAAAGATGAGAGGGATTAAAATAAAAGAGGTTGTGGGGGAAAAAAGAGAGAAAATAAAGTCAGGAGAGAGAAATGAAAGAAAGAGCGAAAAGCGTGATTGCATATATGTCAGACACAATAACTCTTCTGTTCGAACCCTTGGCCTCGCGCGCTCTCACTTGGGACGGGACGAAACGGAAACCGAGGGAGAGTTAATAAAGTGTGTAAAGAGAAAAGACTGGCAACAGGCCCGTATTCGCGCGCTGACCATTCATGTGTGTTTAAAGAACGGACTTGTAAAATAATAAAAAAAAAAAAAAGTTGGCCTCCTCTAACTTCTGACACTTGCACACGTTATATGCATGTACCTGAGCGAGCACGAGTCGATGCGTGGTGCGCCTTTCTCGCTAAAGCGTTGTAAATTTTATTTTACGCCGAGTATCCGTCGCGATGAATAGCCTGTTTAGCACGAATTATGATTTAGCATTATTCTTCAGGGGCAAACAAGATTTACGGGAAATTACGCTGTCGAACGTGTTTCAACTCTTGGTAAAGCAGGGCGAAGAGAAAAATTTTCTGCATCTTTGCAAAAAGAAAAAAAAAACAATGTTCTTTTCTGAAAAAGTATATTTTAAATAATCATCGTAATTGACAAACATACAAGTGTCCAATTTGTAGTAAAAAAAAAAAATTGTAGTAAATTTTATGGGAAACTTGCCTAATTATTGTTTTTGGACATTCTCAACCCTGCTAACCACCTTAAGATTTCACTACCGAAATTAATACAGCTACCCAACCTTGACGATTGCATCACTGTGGACAGAATTATAGGCCTAAGCAGAATGAAATCTTTAATCGTAAATTTTAAGCTTTTACATGAGAGAGAAAAGGATAAAAATATGTTTTGTCCTTTTCTCTCTCATGTAAAAGCTTAAGATTTACGATTGAAGATTTCATTCTGCGTTGTTCCATAGGCAAAAATCACAACTAACAGTTTTCCGAACAGATATTAGCAGATAATTTAGAAAGAACCAATCTATCAAAATTAAATTAAAATTTTTGTGATTTAATTTTTTGAAATTCTCAACATTCAGATACAAGAACAATTAAACGATATGAAAAAGAACAATTATAATATGTTCTATTTCAACATAAACAAAAAATTTTTCCAAAGCTAATAATAAGATTATTAATTTTCATTACACTTTGTTAGATCTACTAATTGGTGCTTTGTAAACACTCCTTTGTTTCTAAAAAGCACAATACCGTTAAAGCATTTTCTCTTTCTCTCTAATAAAGTAAATAAAGAGCCCACCTGACAAGTTTTATATTCGGTTTGGTGGCTTCTCTCTCTCTCTCTTTTTGCTCTTATAACCACTCTTTCTTATGTGCCTTGGCCTGTTCCATCCCTGGTCGCTTGCGGCGCAAAGATCGATGAATGTATACGGCCGGAGATGGAAGAAAATTCGGGACCAGTTTTCGCATTCTCGACACAGAGCCTTTCTATTATCTTTATATCGATATCGTTTCTGCGCTTAATCGACTTTTGGAACTTTTTTCAGATGATGCACCTGCTGCATTCACCAAATATGGTCACGCGTGCTTTACTCCCATTTAAAGGGCGTAAATGTGCGTTAATTTTTTTTTTTTTAATTTCAACAGATGGTAATTATTTTTATAGCTATATAGGTAATTATTTTTTCATACCGTTTTTTAACAGTTAGCGTTCATTAAAAATGTTCGCTTCCCTTTTTTATTTATGTTTATTGCTGCGCTATAAATACACCAAGATGAAAAAAAAAAACGAATCAGTTTGTGGTCATAGACTAAATAATTGTGGGAGGAGATTTATAAATTATGATAGTTTTTTCTTTCTAAAAGCAGGCGGGTATAGTAAAACGGTATTTTGTTCAATTGACGGGTTAGAATTTATGGAATAATACACCTTTATTTTTTTTCTTCGATATACTCTTAACAGGAGTTTATTATTTCAGGAATCGTTCAAGAATTTCTAAAATGGAATTTTATTCCGGACTGAAATTATGTTTAAAGACACTTTCGTTAATTACGTAAGAGATATTATGAGGTATTTTGAAAACTAATATTAGTGAAGAAAAATATTTTCCTAGCGATGAGAGAAAAGGTATTCAGAAACTTTGGAAGACTTCTTTTTAACCTTCTTTTTTGGTAACATACTTTAGTTTGGAGAGACACGACAATCACGTTTTCAGAGGTGCCTCTCCTTTCTCTTATCCGAATTCTTTTCCACAGATTCAACTTGAACGCATCATCGCTGCTGGATATCGCGTCACTGCAAAGAAGCCTGTTTGCTTCTTCCTTCTTTCTTGGACAGCGATATAAACTTTTAGAAAGTGTTTATCAACAGTCGGGAGGAAAACAAAAATAAAATCAAAAATCGTAATTTTAAATTAATAGAAACTTATTTGGCATCATTGAAATTTACATTAGAAAAGCATTGTTTAACAAATATTTGTAATTATAAATTGAACCAAATATTTTCCTCTAGTGGAAAAAAAAGATACTTTCGTCCATCACTTTCATTTCAGGTAGTTGGACACCTTAAAACGTGATTGCTATCTGAACTGACGATCAATTTCATTCCGACCAAATTATTACCGTTAGTCTCGCATTGTACGTGGTAATACTACCGTGCTCATCTTGACGGGATCCGATTGTATATATATTTATTCTCATTGGTCACGGTCCAGAACGTCTTGAGAGAGTGCATTAACAATACGGAGACGATTCTGCACTTATTATTGTCTCTTGTCTTGTCTCGTATAGACACAATCACGAGGAAACAAGGAGCAAAATGCAATGCACTAGAGAGAGAAATTATCGAGGTATGAATATGTCAAGTACAAGATGAAACAAAAGAGAATCTTGTTTAGAGTCTCTCTCCGTGTGCGCGCGTAGGTGCCAATTATTTATCGTTCCTGTCATCATTCTCAACGACATTATTCGAAAATCTTTTCTAAATTGAAATTCAAAGATCTTCAAAAAAAATAGATTTGCAAATTAATTATTCCACTCGAGAAGAAAAAATTGTAATTCTGCAGTTATTGAAAATTTCTGTATATTAATTTCGATATAAATAAATATCCTAAAACACCCCATAATTTAACAGTTGGTAAATATTAGGGTAACCTGAAGTGGTTCAGAGTTTTATTTATTTTCAAGTTATGTTATGTCAAAAAACAGTCATAAATTTATCAATGTTTTATTAAAATAGAAAAAAGTTACACAAGTTTGTCATATCGATTAAAGAATTATATATATATATGACAGTGACAATAATAGTATAGTGGCATGTCATTTATGTGCACCTTTTTGGAAGAGTGAAATGAACATTGAAAAAATTTACTTATGGCCGATAATTTATGTATAAGAAGTGAATCCCCTTTGGTAGCGATAAGATTGGATCGTCAGAGA